AGAACATGGGAATCAGTATGAACGCAGCCTTACAGTCTGAGTCTTTTTTGCACCCTCCTTGTGGGCGGATAAGATGGAGCGGTCGAACTTGGCCGATTGGCGCTGAGTTTTGCGCTTTTCCTACAGGAGGCATTCCACTTGTCCGCTTTGAATTCTCTTTGGCGTAGCGAATAAGCCTAGTTAAGCGAAAAAGAGGTTAAGTTTTTCCCGGACAGTGCCTTCAAACCCCTCTTTTCCGAATTGTTACAGCCCTTAAAACACTCTAAATGATGACGCATTTTTCCTCCAAGCGCGCAGTGCAGAAGATGCATGCCTTCAACGCATAGACTGGAAACATCATTTCTGTTTTGTCTTTGTTCTCTTCGGATTCTGCCTTGTTTTTATTTGTATTTCGTATCTCTCTTTATGAGCACCTAGCGAGGCATAACGTCCTTTGCGAAGTCCACCGGTTCATTTTTGAATAAAGCTGAATGTCTGTATGTATGTCTGTCTGTAAGTCTGTATGTACGTTTATTTCGAATAGAAAATTGCATTTCTGAACCGATCCGAACCCAACTTTCACACATACACTTCGGGGCGGAGCGTTTGTCATAGCCTATTTTCCGTCACTGATCGATATCGATGTTACCGATTTTTTGCATGAGCTACGGGGCTGGCGGTCGGCATAGGGGGTAAGTGAGCATGCTGATTACGAATACAGCATGGATAGCCCGGATACTCTTCTGTCTGGCTTTTTAATCGCTAGGCGGTTCTCCACTCCATACCCAGGTTAGCGATCGCCCCGTGGAAATCAAGTGTAGACCTAAAGTCTACCCTTGTTAGGGGAAAATTTCTCACTCCGTCAGCAAGAAGAGATGAAAAAATCGGGATTCGATGTACAGACCTGTCGTCCTGTACATCGGATCCCTCCTACGGCGCCGGGTGGTAGCAAGGATGTCAGATCTTCAGGGCGCCTTTTAGATAGGACAAAAACGACACGTCTGCCCGGACGACAAGCCATGAAGACTGCCTCATGCTCTGCACTTACAACGGCAGGACAGTCCCATCACTCTACGGGAAACGTCTAAGAAGAAGGACGTGCGACAGATGAATGATGAGACCCTCATCATTCGTGGTGAGAAGGTTCCATCATGAAACGTTGAAGACGTTGTTTTTGTCGTCCACCCATCTATCGTTCATCTTGTCGTTTCGCATGAGATCCTATCACCTCGACTAGCTATCCTATGACTACGATTTCCACGTCAGAAGCATCAGCACCATCAACCGTACTCACCAACATCACCAGCTGATGACTTCTGGATGCTTTCCAGTGGAGGAGGTCGTCCGTAACGAGAAGTTCCTTCACAAGTTTGTTGTGGGCGACTTCAACGCGAAAATCGGAGTGCCATTAAGGAATATAGGATTGGGAAGTTTGAATATGGGCTCCGAAACGAAAACGGCAACCATCTCGTTGACATCTCTCCGCCGCACGACCGTTCCATGGAAATCCATCTTCATGAAGGAAGAACATCGCCTGTGGACATGGGAATCGCCCAACTGAACAACCCACCGCTGAGATCGACCAGTTTTCACCAACCGGAGGTGGAGCTTGCTTGATGTCTCGTAGTTCCATCCTTCTGCAGTAGTTCCGATCACCTCCTCCTTCGGGCGAAGGTACGATTCAGTCGAATGCTGAAAAAGAAGGTCTGCCACAGTGCCGCAAAAAAAAAGAAAGTCGTTTTAAGACGGTTACAGGCTGAAAGAGCTCATCTCAAGTTGTGGCTGGCTTATTCGAGGAGGACCTAAGATACGACTACGGCCGGCTTTTAAAAGGACTGCGAACCTGCAGAGATTGGGTCTCAGTGAGTTTTGAGAAGTTGGAACGCATCTCAAAACCACCAAGGAATTACTCAAAAGAAGGAAATCCCTGTGGCATCCGAGTGCAACCCATCTTAGCTGATAGCCAACGCCAGTTGCAGAACAGCTTTGCAGGAGGATCTCAGGAAGTACAGGCAAGCCAAGATACTGGAAGCAGCCGAAGAAAGACGAAGTCTCAAGAAGTGCCGAAGGGACCTCTGCGAATATCATGTACCGCTGGCTGCACTATTAAACGAAGACGGGACTCCCACTTTTTCCCGATATAAGATGGAATCTATCATGAGAAAGTACACCGATCTCTTTCGCTCATCAACTTCCGTGCCGATGTCCGTTGTTCCCACTGGAGAAGTACCACCACGAATCTACCTGCTGAAGTGAGTACCGCGATTCAGGCCATAGAGAAGTCCACGGCTCCAGGACCAGACCTTTTTCCGTCGTAATCACGAGATTCTCGCGTCGCAAGTAACATCTTACCTTCGAGAAGAAGGTTCCTGACCAGCGGAGCGTCAAGAATGCCTCGGTGCTACCGTCCAGTATGCCTGCTAAGTGTGCTGTATAAGCTTTTCACGAAGATTATCCTCGCTCACATGACTAGGACACTGGATGAAGTTCAAATTCAAAAACAAGCTGGATTTCGCAAAGGATTCAGCTGCATGGACCACATCCAGCGGTTTCAAGGTCATAGAAGTCTGCCTGGAGTACCGACTGCCTCTCGTCCTAACCTTCATGGACTACGAGAAAGCCTTTGACAGCGTCGAGATCATCACCTGTCAGCGCTAACCGATCAAGAAAGGTACCCGGCTTGAGTGAGGACACTAGCCGACTGCTACAAGGACTGTACAACAACGATGCGACTGTTTCATCGCCCCCTGACCATCCTGTTTGAGAATGGGGTTCGACAGTGCGACACTATTGCGCCCAAACTGTTCACCGCGGCCTTGCAGTGGGTGATGAAGTCACTAAACTGGAACGAGAGAGACATACGGGTTGTTAGGAGATTCCTGTCGTTCGTTTTGCGGACGGCATCGTTCTGATTTGAGCAGTATCACTGAAGCAGAGACTATGCTGAAGGAATTATACGAAGTAGGGAAGAAGATCGGATTGCGAATAAACCGGAAGAAGACTCAGTTCATGAAGAAGCCCTTTGCGAAGACGCGGAAATGGATTGCGCATCCCTATCATAAAGACGTCTTCTTACGTGTATCTTAGACGTTCGATGAACATGGAGAACGCGTTGAGGAAGAACTTAACAGGAGAAGAAGAGCAGCCTGGGCCGCTTTCAGGTCTCTGGAGGAAGCTGAAGCCACTGACCAATGACACTCGACTTCGCACCTGTTCGGCTCAACCGTCCTCCCGGCGCTCTGTTACGCAGCCGAGACTTGGGCTGACACCGTAGCCGCGTGAAAGCTCTAGGAACCACCCACAGAGCGCTATAGCGCAGTCTTTTGAAAATGACCAGATACAAACAACATCTTGTCGGACCTCTCAGTATGGATATGAGCAGAATGTTTCGTCTTCGTGACTCAGCGGAATACGTTGCGAAAGCGAAACACCGATGGGCGCCACATCATGAGAACAAACGACAGATGGACTTTGAGAACATCGGTGTGGATTACTCGCGAAGCAAAACGTCACCAAAGAGGTGGAACGGGTGGACCAGCTGGGAAATCAGCTGGATACGATTTTCGCACTTGGAACTCACGGACGTAGCCACACGTCAACCAAGAAGATGGCGAATGTCTGAAGCGAGGGACGGGAAAATGGAAACTTAGTGTTGGGGCCTGCACGCCTTGTGAAGCGGGGCATCTAACAAGGGAACGATACTGGTGTCCGTAGCCTTTTTAGATGAAACGTATACCTCACGCTCGTTTCGGAACGCTGATTTCGAATCTGACCTCCTTTTCTACTAATCGTTTCTTTGAAAGAAGTTATGAAAGATTTTCGCGTCAATGGTCGCCTGAGAGAAATACGGCCGAGGATGCCTAACTTTCAAAAAGAAGCTTGATTGAGGCTGTGCAAGACTGAAAAACACGAAAGGACTCAAACCTAAACCTACATTAACTTGCGAGGCTATTCGTAGCCACGCAACCACATCTTATCGGCTCTTTTGGCATTCCGACCGCATCTCCTTTGGCACAAAAAGCCTTCATAACTTCTTTCAAAGAAAGATTAGCAGAATAAGAAGTCAGATTCGGAATCAGCGCTCCAAGATGAGTGTAATGGTATACATCTCATCTCAAAAGGCCACGGACACCAAGTATCGTTTCCTTGTGAGTATCTAGCTAAGTATTGACAGCTCCGGGCGAAGCCGTGTTAGCAACTAATTCTCAATACTTCTGGTGCCACCTCGTGCCGAGCCCTGCCTTCAGTCCATGGGAATTCCAGCACAAACCCCTCCAATCACACCCGTTAATCTAAGGACCCATGACCCCTTACGACGTAGCACAGTCTGCATGCATGATATATACTAGTGTTGTTGCATATGACGAGACTTTTAATAGCATGCGATGGAACTATTGAAGAGGCATTCGTCCACTTGCCAAGGATGTTTCAGTAAGAAAATTTTGGTAGTCTACACTTTTGCACTACATATCCCGATATCGGGCTACAGAAGCCTATCTGAGTGGGCTTCCTTCAACTTCCCATTTAACTTTTTTCATTGACATGAAAACTGCTAAATAACAAAGTTCCTTTTTCTGCTAAACAGCAAGTGTTAAAAAAGTTTATTTTGTATTCCAGGCATAGTTAGAGAAGTATACATCACTTTCGTCACTAACTTTTGAGGACATTTTAGCAAGATCTTTACTCCGCGATAGCTGATATTGTCGTAAGATATACCATAGCAATAGGGGAGAGCACACGTTATAGATGGGGAAAACCTGAAGTAGAGGAGAATAGAAAATAATCGTAGATAATCTGTGCCGCGATAAGAACTTACATAGACAGAAGCAGTATATGCCCTTAGTGCTGCAGCGCTAAGAAGAGAATTGAGCTTTGTAGAAATTCCGATAGCCCCGAAAAAGCCGCTATACACTACGAAATGAAAAGTAGCTAATGGGATGAGTAAACGTAATACTATAAAATTTTCTCGGGCTTGGAAGTTCATGCGCATGACGTAGAGGTTACTTCAACAGTGAGAATTATCAACGGAGCATGATGATAATTTCCGAAACATACACTTGTTTCTTATTCGCGCGGTAAACACTGTAGAAGCATGCAACAATCAGCGCTTCCACAGGTATAAAGGAGTAGCTTGCTATAGAAAAATTCACTCGTGTTTCCTTAGTTACTGGTGAACAGTATAGTTCGTTTCTAGTGAAGTCGTATTGGTTCATAATAACAATTATTACAGCGAATCCAATGACAATCTGAAACTTTACTTAAGGAATAATACCCTGGCACCATAGCATATGGTACCGATAGAACAGCCATCAATTTTCCAGCTGCTGAACTACGAGACTCATAATTGCTCAGATTTTTCAAGGCCATTGCTCTTTCAATTACTATAGAAATGTGGACGAGTGTCTGTGTGAAAAAACAGGAGGTTGCCGGCATTCGTACGGAATAACAGAAAGTAGCGGGAACAGGCACATCACAAACATCTTGCGTCATGTAGATTTTATATAGATGTACTCCCTAAAATAATAGGCTTCGTAGAGGGTGTAGCCTTCAGATCTACCTGTGAGAGCGCTACGAAGACCGCATGGGTGATATTGAGCAAAATAAGCGTCCACAATAGTATCTAAACTAGAAAGGTAACCAGAATTCAATGGAACATCAGTTTTTCGCATTTTGGCCTGACTAGGCTAATACCTTGGGTTTTGACTTTCATTGCGTTTGATATCATCCATAAGTGGGTGCAAAATTATTCAAAAAAAGTCTGTGTTGAACCGCAGATGCAGTGACCGCCAAAAAGTTGCGGACAAACCCCTCTCCCTTTTTCATCGCTCTTTTTCAGAGGGAAAACAAGGATGAAAAAATGTAATAATTGCATGAGGTGATAGAGCTCTTCAAGATCTACAATCTGCACTTTGAGTTTTTTGAGAAACTTGTTTTCTAAAAATTTTAAGAATCTTTTTCGAAAAAAAGTCCGAAAATGGCCGCGTCACAATGTCGCGGACAATAATTCTTCGAACGCAAAAGTTTTCTTTTGAGTCCTATTTTAAAGCGGAAACACAAGTTATCCGGACGGGTAAGCATACTACTATACAGAGCTCGTCAAGAAATACACACTGGTTATGGTTGCTTCCCCAAAAAACGCAAGCTTGAGTTTTATTTTAGTTTTTCCAAAAAACAACTTCTAATCTCCTTAATCAAGCCAAACTTCTTCACAAGGAAACCTGTTCAAGACATCCCAACAAAGCCGTCTGGATAAAATAGATGCTCTTTGCCATCTTCTATGCATCGGACGTGTGCTGATGAGTTTCTTGGCTGAAAATGGTCTTTGGCAGTGCTTGCACATGACCCCACCTGCACCTCACCACTGACTTGTACCTGCTTTGCAGGCTTGTAACTCGGCCGCCAGACACTATAAGAATCTGCAAGTAGACTCATTCGAAAGAGCGTGAGTTCCTGGACACGATGATATGCAAATGGGATGAGTTTGAGAAATTTCAGAGGTTTGGCGGATGGGGAGAAAAAGTGCAGATTTAGAGGTAATAGGAGTGAAAGCTTTTATGAACACCAGAACAGTCTTAGAGCTTCGAAATGGATCTATTACAAGAAAATTGACAGTTTTGAACTTCCAGGATGAAATTGGTAGCGAAAGGAGCTCTCTTCATCTTTAGCTGAAAAGTGCTTAGACTACAACTGAAGCTGCCCTCTACCACCCCATCCGCCAAATCTCTGGGATTGCTCAAACTGAACTTAATTGCATACTTTCTTGTAGAGGAAGTCTCGTTCTTTCGAACGAGCCTAATTGCAGGCTCAAATATTGACTGCAGGCCGAGTTACAGGCCTGCAAAGCGGTACAAGTCAGTGGTGAGGTGCAGGTGAGGTCATGTGCAAGCACTGCCAAAGACCATTTTCAGCCAAGAAACTCATCAGCACACGTCCGATGCATAGAAGATGGCAAAGAGCATCTATTTTATCCAGACGTCTTTGTTGGGATGTCTTGAACAGGTTTCCGTGTGAAGAAATTCGGCTTGATAAAGATAATTAAAGGTTGTTTTTTGAAAAAAACTAAAATAAAACTCAAGCTTGCGTTTTTTGGGGAAGCAACCATAACCAGTGTGTATTTCTTGACGAGCTCTGTATAGTAGTATGCTTACCCGTCCGGATAACTTGTGTTTCCGCTTTAAAGGACTCAAAAGAAAATTTTTGCGTTCGAAGAATTATTGTCCGCGACATTGTGACGCGGCCATTTTCGGACTTTTTTTAGAAAAAGATTCTTAAAATTTTTAGAACACATATTTCTCGGAAAACTTAAAGTGTAGATTACAGATCTTGAAGAGCTCTATCACCACATGCAGTTATTACATTTTTTCATCCTTGTTTTCTCTCTGAAAAAGAGCGATGAAAAAGGGAGGGAGGCTTGTCCGCAACTTTTTGGCGGTCACCTATATAAGGTGGGGCAAAAGTTCTGCATTCTAGTACTTTTTCGAATAAAATCGGAATGACCCCACTTTCATGCGTACAAGGCGCACCTTTCGATAATTCAAGCGAGCCGCTCAGCTGCTTCACTGTTGAAAGGCGACACTTATGCCGCACGATTGTCCTTTAGTTGCGAAATCCCTTGGCGTGTTTGGGCTGGTCGTTTTTCGAACAAATCCCGCGCCTTGTACGCGTGGAATTAGGGTACCTAGAAACAAAAAGCTTGCACATATAAATTGAACCCTCACAAATACAATGCAACTCTCAAATTTGAGGTTGCTTCTTTTGGATTCAAAGCAGCGCTTTAGAATCTTCGGGTCTGCCAGTAGTGGCACGCAGGCAGTCGTGATGGAATACGTCTTACGCCTTCACGATCACCGCTTCTTTCAGTAGGCAAATGTGCAGTATGATAGAGCAAGCTTTTGGCTAGAAGAAATTACGAAAAAAATTTTTTTTGCAAAATCTAGGTCTGGAAATTTAAGCGAAGGCAAGTGTTCTAGCATACTGGAAGTTTGGATGCGATTGCGCGAGCGGGAGCGAAAAATTATAATCTAATATTGAATTTGCTCCATCGATCAAATTCAAATAGATGCTTCTGTAGACTCATGGAAAGAGTATAGCCTAAAATTCAGACTTGATGCGCTCCAATAGCTTTCAAATTTATTTTAAAAACAAATGGCCACTGGCACGCAGGTAATATTCGCACACGTTTATTTTTCGATTTTGCAAAATTCTGGCAAACGCACTACTATGATGTGATAGCGTAAAGCCTCCTCTACATTGGTCCATCAGAATGTTGTATCCTCAGTGTACGTTGGGAGCATTTGCAGACATCTGAACGCGTTGGTGACTTGTTAACCCCTCTAACGCAAGGCAGTTTTTTTGTAATTTCTAGCTATCAGAAGTGTGACAACATATACAGGGATCCCAAAAATATGTATACACTGTTTGATCGTTGATATCTCTTCCAAGAAGTCTTTTCTCTACCCCTAAGCAATGTAGAGCTGGCCTCAACTTGGATTTACAGTATGGAGCGAATCATCGGTCGCACTTCATCACTTTAGGATTGCAGCAGAAAGTTCAAGAAGGGTTGTAAGCCATCAAGGGCCCTATTTCGCCTAAAGCAAACCGAACAACCGAACATTTACTAGGTCAACTTAAGCCACTAAAACCAAATATGACGTCTGCACTTTACCGCAGTGCTTCCTTCATGAGTTATGCCAGGTAGACCGCAACAGTCGTTTTTGCAAGACTCTATAAAATCGTGATTACACCATTTTAAAAGCTTTGCAAACTCGTAAAAACTTGAATAATAAATTCGGCGAGCTTGGAAACCCTAGCACACCACTTTCCAGATTTTTTGGGAATTTTTTCATGAACACGGTAAATCCGTAATAATGCTATAAGTTGAAAGTCCCTACCGTGATCTTACAGTAGCGAACAGCGATCTGTGATTCGCTCCATACTGTATATCTAAGTTGAGGCCAGCTCTACAAATTGGTACCGGAAGGTGATCAAAAGGCTTCTTGGGAAAAAAGATATCAACCGTCAAATAGTGTATACATACTCTTGGGACACCCTGTATACGTGGCAGTTTAGAGAGTACAAAGAACCATGCTTTGGAGTAGAGGTTTAAACAAGTTCACAATCGTCTGTTCGAATGTCTGGAAATGCTCTGTCCAAGTACACCGGGGCGATGATAGAATATTCACAGTATCTTCGGCTACGGAGTAGATTGTGAATTTTAAAAGGTTTGATTTTTTTGCTGTGCAAAAACACTTGTTCGATAAATCCAATTCTTATGAAAACATATGGCAAGCATTTTTAGCTAGTAAATTATGATTTGTAGAGCAGCACCATGTGGCACAAATTTGGAATCAAAATCTTCAGTAGCAGTTTCGTGATTTACAATACTGCAAAGTCGGCTTCCAAACTTTTACCCCACACGTACATAAAGATCACCATTGTAAGATACTTACCTGAAAATTGACGTGGAAAAGCAAATTGTTTCTCCAGCGTACGATAAATTGTACATTTATCACGATGGCATATATGCAGATTAAAAGTTGAGCGATCATAACGATCTGTTGCGGAATATATGCTGCAAACTCCGCAGCCTCAACGCATTCGTTACTCATCTGAATCTTGGTTCTGAGTGTCTTGTGCGAATAATCCAGATTATCCAGTCGAGCAAGCAGAAAGTGCGAGTAGATAATGGCCAAATATTACTAGCAGTATAAGTGACAAATAGTAATTTGGCATGTTGCCCACTTGTTTTTTTGGTCAACTGGAGAAACAGGTGTGGATATTCATTAATGAAGATTTCAAAATCATGAGGAAAATGTTAGAAAGATTCACTTCAACAAACGCTCGAACAAAAGATTAACCTTTAACAAAAGTTGAATGTAAAACGACATAGTTTTCTCGTAAATGCCTTCAGCGGGTGTATTTATACCTGCAGGGATTAATCAATTAGAGATTGAAGTTTGAGTCACCGTTTTCAAGAGCAAGGCCACTAGAGTAATATCAAATATTTAGTTTGACTATTGAAAACGCATTACATCGAATTATTTCTATGCTTTTTATTTTTCAATGTTAATTTCAAAACGTTATATGCTCAGTTTGGTAAAAAAAAAAGGTACGACCTAACACTGTTTCTTTCCAATAGTGGAAATAAGAACTGTTTCTACCAGGTTTGAGGAAAATAAAATAATAAATGAATAAATATTATAAATAATATAAATAAAATAAATAATATATTATATATGAAATACAAAATATAAATAAAAAAATAATATAAATAAAACTCAATCTCTGTAAATTTGTTCGTTTGTAAGTATGTGGCTTAAGACTCCTTTGTTTGTGAACCGATGAGGCAGAAATTTGCTCCCTTACAGATGAGGTCAGGCGCAAAATATAGGCTAGTTTTTGCGACGATTCGCTGGGTCCTTCTACCGATTTATTGATTTGTTTACGTAAATCTAGGAAATGAAAGATTTATCAAATCATTTGTCTAAGTGAGAGTGAAGATTAGTGGCATGTCTCATTCTGAGTTTTTTTTGGCATGCAAAGCGCAGTGAGAAGTGTACCTCAAGTAGGTTCTTTTATACGTTCAAAAATGATATATGCGCTCACGCTGAGCTGTGTAGCATCCTTCCGCAACATTATGGGCGCCAATTCTCAATGTCTTATCTCTGCATGTACAATTCTTATCAACTGCAGAGTCAGGCGCAGCAGCTATCCGCTTCTGCGCTGTCGCCTTGCTTGGACTCTGCGCCTCTTTCGCGAACATGCTCTCTGGCACTTTCCCACCGCGAGCGTGAGAAAGACGGAGCCTCAATTCATTGCAAATGATTAGAGAGCATGTTTGCAGAAGAAGTGTAGGCCCTGCGCGGGAGCGGAGGTGCTGGTGCAAGAGATACTACAATTAATAAGCCCTGTAAGTCAAAGGCAATGGATTTGCTGTTGCGAATCTAAGCGGCCTCAAAATCAACACCATTAGTAACAGTCATGCACAAAATATGTTCGATTATATGATTAGGGAAACGTTCTTTATCGTAATACGTGAAAATAGTGAAGGATTTTTGAACTGTAGCAGCGTTATAAGGAAACAAATTCCAGGCTACCCTCACTTTTGTGATCCACTTCGCAGAGCAGAAAGTGAATGCATTGTTGAATTTTCTGTGATGGAGCACTCGAAATAGATAGAAATCAACGATTAGAGGAGGACCAATGAAAATGTCTCATTGCGAGTGATATGCTGATTACTATCATTCCCATTCCACATGCTTACAAGTACATTCGTGGTAGCCGAGCAAACCTGCTAAGAAAAATAAACACGCCTTTTCAGAAAATCCCAATAGAAACGTCAAAGTAGCAGGAATAGATGGAACTATTGTATTTTCGCCATATGATTGTACCCTTAACCCATTCAAACCGCTAAGCTTTTACCATGTGATTTTATCTATAGATTTCAGCTACTTTTAAAAATTACTGTCAAAACTCCAAATTTAGATTGACATTAAAGTCGCAAGCAAAACATTTTGTGTTGGTCATAGAGATCATAGCAAGTGAAGATATTTGAACATTGATAAATTAGTGAATTCAAAGGAGTAACCTGGATAGCCGCGTGTGCCTGCTAGTAAATGAAAGAATAGTATGATTGATTAATATGATACTATAACTATAATACATAATATGCAGCAAAGTCTGTAAAGTTTTTTGAATGCTCAGGGGCTCTCTCCATCATTAGATTGTAAAAATGCGATGTCAACAAGAATTTTTGCTACATACTATACTAGCATAATACCTCTTATCCCTACTACAATAAAATCATTGTCATCAGGAAAATCCCATTTATAAGCTTGAAACAGATTTGAAATTTTTAGGAAGCTAAACCCAGCATGTGCAGGGGATTGTGTGAGTCGATTTCAGCAAATGTGCAGGGTCGAGAGATTCTCTTTATGACTGATTAGTAAGCTATGGGTCATATAGCCATTCCAAATGATTTGAACTTAGGTACAGATTTTGGAAGGTGAATCAGCATTCTTCATGCCGACTTTCCTCAGTTTGGCTATTCGAGGCAAAGACTTGACGAAGTATTGGAACAAAAGCGATTAATGACCTTTGAAGCACTCTCCTTTTTCTCTCCCCCACCCCCTCCATCTCCTCCCTCCTCCACACTCCCCCTGCTCTTCCCCGAAATGCAATGCAGAAATTATCGCATGTGTTCAAACGAGATAACCATTAACAGATAAAAACACAGTCAGTAGATAGTCACTGTAGAAGGCTCTAGTAGGTGAAAATACAGAGATAAGATCCAAACAAAGCTCATGCGCTTATGAATCTAGTGCTCAATTTGTAAATTTATTCCATCCAAAAGAATCCTCTTTTAGTATCCGGTCATTCGCTGCTTTTGGAGCACCGTTTCAGAACAGCAGCATAAGAAGGTATGAAAATTTTACTTCTTGATTAAGCTGTTGCGTGTTTACCGAATGTAGAACTTTTCCTGGAGACACAATCACTACAAAACCTCAGAATTGAAACAAACTTTGATTAAGTTGAAGTTGTGAAACGCATGAGGAGTATTATATTAGGTTGTCCCGAACGTTTCGTCCATTTTTCAATCTATCATAAAAATACGTGGAACAAAGATAGGGAAACGCTCTAAGCACTACCCGACGCATCTTTTCCTTCTCTTTCTGACTGTCATGCCACCATGCCGATTACTCTTTTGCTTACTGAGATAAACGCCGAAATTCGAACCCATGGTTTTTACTATGTTCAAGTTTGACAATTTTTCACAATCTTCATTTTCAACTTTTAGAAGACCTTCGATAGCCCTCAGATAGAGTAAGCAAAGGGCAATGCAAAGCAATTATTTGGCATATCTAGCTGGCTTTTCAATATTTTTAAAGATAACTTTTTTCAAAAGTTTTCACTTTTGCGAAGTTCTAAAATACAGAAACGCCTCGAACACTAACAAATTATCGGATTTTGAAGCTTTCAAAGACCGATTACGATTATTCACTATTTTTACGAAGCAAGTGAGCGTTTACCGCTTTAAAATACAAGATTTTGCATTTTACGTGTACACGCTGGGGCAGAGGTGCGATAGGGGGAGCCGGGTCCCCCAAAAGTGAAGGTGGTCCCTGCTACCACTGGCTGCCAAAAGTGAAGGTGGTAGTGCCGGACACTCACCTCCCAAAAATGTCGACCGGGGGGGGGGGTGGTCGCAGGCTACCACTGGCCAGCAAAAGTGGGTGGTAATGCTGGACACTCACCTCTCAAAAACGTTGACCGGGGGTATAGAGGCGGAGGGTAGGGAGAGGGGGGGGGGAAGCATAGAACTGAGCTATCCTTTCACGTCGTTGCCGGCCGCGAATGCCTTCACTTTTGGGTTTTGATTTTTTTGCTGAAACTGAAAAAAGGAAATTAAGCAAAACGAACGCAAAAGAAAGTATTGAGAGCATATTCTATGTAGTTTACTTTTAGGAAGTCGCCGTCGCCCACTGCGGCACCTGGAGGCCATCACCGACATGGACGCATATACGCCTCAGCACTTTCTCCGATAGAGCAAAGCTTCATGATGACTTCGGATAAATGAAGAGCTCTAACCCAACGGTCCTCTTTAGGGCCAATAACTGTAACCCAACGGCCCTCTTTAGGGCCACAAATACGATGAACACAGCGGCATAAATATTCGAAATAAACGTGTCAATGAAATGGTGTATTTTGAAGTGAAACTCAACGACACTCTACAGATTTTATTAAGTAAATTTAGTACTGCGAAGAAAGTAGGTCGATCCAGGAAGTATTTGCCGAGAACCAGAATTTTGAATGAAAAAATAACCAGAAATCATGCAAAATTGCCACTGTTATAAACCAAGTGGTTGAAGATGTCAGCAACTGCGAGTTCATAGGTTTTAAAGGGTAAGTGTTGCCCTAACAGATAGTGAAAGAATCGGGTCGATTTGAGCAGTGGTCGCTGAGAACGAGAATTTTGAAAAATTAGGCGATTTTAGGCTAATTTTTGACTGCTGACATTTGAACTCCTAAAACTCTTGATTGTGAAGATGTGTGATGTTGCGACTTTATAGGTTTTCTAGGGTAAGGTTTGCCCTACTAGAATATATCTTACCCGTACCAATTCATCAAAGCACCTCCGAGATCCAGGCTCTTGAAAAAGCAGGTAAAAAACAGCTTTTTGAACTTCAACAGCTCGTAACTTCTCCAGAACTGCATGAATCATGTTGCGACTTCATAGGTTGAATTCTTCTTATCAAGAGCTTTCAGATGATATATAATATGTGGGGGTTTGGGGCCTTCTTCGACGTATGACCGGGGGGGGGAGACTTTTTAGGCCAAAGTCTCCCCCTCGCCCATTTTAATGTATTGGCTGGAGGCCGCCAGGGGAGACTTTGGCCTAAAAAGTCTCCCCCCCCCGGGCATATGCCGTAAGAGGCGCGAAACTCCCACATATTATATATCATCTGAAAGCTCTTGATAAGAGGAATTCAACCTATGAAGTCGCAACATGATTTATGCAGTTCTGGAGAAGTTACGAGCTGTTGAAGTTCAAAAAGCTGTTTTTTACCTGCTTTTTCAAGAGCCTGGATCTCGGCGGTGCTTTGATGAG